CCAAAAGGCTAAGACATTACCGGTCATTGAATTAGCAAAATCTAAAAAGCTAGATGACTCGAGTGGAGTCAAGGAATAGTCTTAAAGGAATACTGGAAGCATTTGGACTGAGGTGTGTTATACCCTATGAAAGACAAAGAAGATTATAACGATCATGGATGCCATTCTCGGGGCTAGTAAGCCCTAAGTCTAGAATAGGACTTAAGGAGGGAGGTTGTCAATGAGACTCCTCCAAGTGGTCAAAGGTGTGGTTAAATGACTAAAGCACTAAAACTCTTATTTAATCACCTTCAATATCCAATGTGAAGCCAAAATACTAACAAGAAAAATGATATAGAACATCAAGATTTAAAAAGAATTCCTCATCACTTGAAATAACAATGTCATTTCCACTAACACAAGTGTTAGCAATGTCAATGCTTCAACTTCACACCTTCTCCATCCAACAATTTACTCAAATGCTAATGGATAAACCAACAAGCTATAGCAAATGAATGCTATAACCCTTTCTGTAGCGCATGTGATCATGGGATGAGATTTGGATATACTGTCACCGTGGATCCTTGAAACCTTGGGAGATAAATAGGGATAAAATAGCCACTAAGGGCTCTCTCATCAAGCAATTGCCCCTTTTCCAGTTGGCTTAAGGGGAGAGAGATAAGGTGCGCTACAGTTAGTATCGGAGCAAATGGCACGGGTTCGATTCCCATTGATTAGTGGCTACTTAAAAGTATAATATACCCTTGAGCAAGGTATATTCCTACCCCTAAATTTGAAATTGTACGTATTGGGCATCCATACGTACGTCCTTCCTCTTGTGTGGAGTATCCACGGACGAAGGTATCCACCGTGGGACTGCAGTACGGGTGGATGACTAGTTGCCTCACATGGAATAGCTAGTCTACACAATGGAAGGATTGGTAGATTGAGTGCGGAAATGGAGGTGTTGGTTCCCCTTGGCTCAGTAGGGGTTGTTAGTCAATAGTCAATAAGGACATTGACATCTCTGAAGGGGGGGTGAGTGTAGCGCATGTGATCATGGGATGAGATTTGGATATACTGTCACCGTGGATCCTTGGAACCTTGGGAGATAAATAGGGATAAAATAGCCACTAAGGGCTCTCTCATCAAGCAATTGCCCCTTTTCCAGTTGGCTTAAGGGGAGAGAGATAAGGTGCGCTACACTTTCCCTACATCTCATAGGCAAACTCAAGGAATCAAGGAACCAATTTAAGCTTAATATATCATAGATTACTATTGAGAATTCTGTCAAAGCTACTACAATGCTACTATGTGCAAGTAGACTAGCTTTACTATTAACCACTTTGGATTATCGTTTAACCAAGCAACTTTGTAAACACATTGCTCACTATCACATAGATATGAGATAAGAAATCACAATGATTTGATCATCAATTGAGTAGCACCACAAGCAACACTCATGTTATTATTTCAAAGGTTTATGTATATATCAAGTGCCAACGCAATTCAATAAAATGCAACATAAATGCCCCATTCCATCGATAGATATTTATAACACCCAACACCAGATAACCTCAGGTAGAGGTCTCACTTGGTCCTTGCAAAGCTACACCTTCTCCCCAGGTTGGAACTCTATGTCCTAACGCTTTTGGTTCACATACTTGGTTTGCCTTTGTTGAGCCCATTCCAAAGAATCCCTCACTAGATTCCAAATGTTGAATATTTCCGTCGTGAATGCCTCCACCGCGGGTAACTCTCCATGATACTCGGCCATGCCGAGTTCCATAGGACCTTCAATAGCTCGCCCATTGATGACTTCCCATGGACTCGGTGAGTTGTTATAGCACATTTCTGCAAGTCCCAAATGACTTACCCAATCGGTCTAGTCTCCTAAGACATAGCATCGTAAATAATCCTCCAGCTGCCTATTCACGTTTTCCATTTTTCCGTTTGTCCATTTATCAAGAAGTGTTAATGTCATCAAACTTACTTAATACCCAATACTTGTCTTTGGGTGATAGGCCGTGCTGAATTTCAACTTTGTGCGATACTGTTCCAGGAGAGTTCTCCAGAACCTACTAGTGAATATTTTATCCGAATTTGAGATAATCTTTTTTGGCCTTCCCCGCACTTGAACCACTTGTTTGAAGAACAGCTTCGCCACACCTTCCGCATCCACTTTCGTTGTGGTGGGTATGAAATGTGCCATCTTTGAAAATTGGCCCACCACCACAAATATCGCATCAAACCCCTCACTTGGGGGGAGTCCTGTGATGAAGTCCATCGTAAGATATTTCCATGGACGATCTGGAATTGGGATGCTTTGTAACAAGCCCCTACTAGCCTTAGTTACGGCTTTGACTTGCTGACATGTTGGACATATCTTTACATAGTCTTGGACGTCCTTAGCCATATTTGGCTAGTGATACTTTCTCTTGAGTAAGCTCATCGTCTTGGGCACTCCCCCGTGTCCCGCAAGATGTCCGTCATGACACTCTTCTAAGGCTACCTTTCTTAGTTCCCCTTTTGGAATATACACTTTCGTTTGTTTATAATAGATGAGTCCATTGCGTTCCATATAACCTGTTTTCTCTTCCGTTGGCAACTCACCTCTCTGTCTTGGTTCCTTAGCAACACTTCTTGTGCTAGACTATCGTTCTCATATGTTGTTCGCACATCGTCCGAAAAGGTTGCTGTCGCGCTAGATATTGCCAACTTCAAGCTTGCTTTTCAACTTAAAGCATCCGCCATGATGTTGCTCTTCCTAGTGTTATATACAATCTCACAATCAAACTCAGCCAAAGCATTGGCCCACCGACCTTGTTTCTCTCTTAGGTCGGGTTGTGACAAGAAGTGTTTCATTGCCACATTATTCGTGTAAACTTTAAAGTGCCTCCCAAGGTAGTGTCACCACTCCTTGAGTGCCTTGACCACCGCAAATAATTCCTTCTCATGGGCAGGCCACTTTTGCTAAGCCTTGTCCAACTTCTTTGAGAAGAATACCACTTGATGGTTGTCTTGCTTCAAAACTGCACCCAATGCAAAGTCCGAAGAATCCGTTTCTACTTCAAAGTCCTTACCAAAGTCGGGTAACACCAACATGGGAGTCTTTCTCAACTTCCTTTTGAGGTGGACAAATGCTGGTTCGCATTCCATTGTCCATACTATCTTCCCTTTACCCATTTGGTCTGTTAAGGGCAAGGCTACTCTCAAATAGTGTTTAATAAACTTTCAGTAGTAGTTATATAGCCCCAAGAACACCCCCAACTCAGGTACATTTGATGGTCACTCTCATTCTTGGATCGCTTGGACCTTCTCAAAGTCCATTTTGAGCCCATCCTTGCCCATTACATGCCCGAAAAACTTTACCTCTTGTTGAGCAAAGTCACATTTGCTCTCTTTAACATATAGCTTGTGTTCCCTTT